GGTATTTTTGTTAGAAATCTTTTCATCAGTGGGGGGCGTGCAACTCCAACCAGGCCTGAAGTGGTATCTTCTTCTTCTTCTTACGCTTCGGTGGCTGTTTCTCTCTGAGTTCATTCCAGTGAGGGGTTTTCAGCAGAAATTGTTTTACCTACTGGGGGTAGTTCAACCACCCAGTTTCCAACTGATATAATTTCCTTATTGTTGTTGTTTGGTCACAGGTGGCCGTTTCTCCCCTTGCTCATCCACTGTCTCTTGAGTTTGAGAGATTGTTTCTTTTACAAGGACCACTGAACCGGCTTGGTTTTCAGGATTTTCCGGAAAACAATGTTTGTTTTCCTCAAACCAAGTGTTGAACGGCACCTTCTTTTTGTTGCGCCTGGCCCTAGGCCGTTCAACTTCTCTTACACTAATCTTGTTGGATGTTTCCATTTCAGTGATTGGCTAGTTTGACTGCATTCTTTCAGATTAAGAGATAAATCAGTCTTCATTGTTGAGAAACTTATTTGGAACTGTGAAACGAACTTTCTTCACCAGAGGAGATTTTTCCTGCCAATAGCCATTGCAATCTACAATAACTCTTTGAAGGATCTGAATTAATGAGTTACAGCATTTAATTTCCCTTTGGGATCAATAAAGTATTTTTTAATTTTAATTCTATATTTTTAAATGGCTGGTTAATATCAACAAAATTGCAAATACCTTTAAACCTTGAATTCTCAAATAAGCTGAAAAGGAGGCATCAGGAATGTGGAGCAGGAGCACAGAGAAGGAGGAAATTTAAACTATTAGTTCCGTTATACAGAAGCGGTAAAATTAGATTTTTAGTAAACAAACTGAATGAATTCCAAGTTGTAAAAAAGGGTCGAGCCAGAATACCAGGAATGCAGTATAGTATGCTATGAAGCATTGCTGCAAGTTCATCTCCCTAACTCCAACATCAGGGATATTTCTTACCTGTGGTCTCCCCCGTTAATATGTGGTCCTGTTAAATTAAAGTTTGCATTTCATTTAAAAATCAAAGTCCCAGAGACTGGAGCAAGAAAAGAGAGGTGCCCAATCCAGGATGCTTGAAGTGTGTGTGGAGTTCACACAGTCAGTGATGATTAGGGTTGCTATTTTTGTGTTGGTTCTTTATAAAAAAAATAAAGAAAGAAAGAAACACCAATTCCTAGGTAAACTCTTGGCTATTGAGAAGTGATAACTCTCAGTATAGAGAGTTATCACTTCTCAAACAAGAATGATAACATTTCTCAACGATATTGAGAAATATTTCTCAATATCGTTTCTATGGACATGTGGACTGTTGAAGCTTTAAACTTTACCCTATATCTAACATTTGCCTGTGATGAATGGGCAAACCTTTTGGAGGCTATGAAGCTTACCGGAAGTTGCCAGTGCTGTAAACAACCATCCTCCATTTCAAAGGGAGAGTACAGAGCTGAACCAGCCGTGGGAATGTGGCCAACACACGGACTGATTGGTTTCACACTTCCTCTGTTGCCATTACTAAAACTGCAGGCGGACAGATGTCGTCGTTTACAACTTCTCCATCTGTTTTCTGATTGGCCCAGTTGAAATTCTACTGGAGAAAGTCCATAGTAGAATGACTGTATTTTATAATTGCATGAATAAGGGAGAGTTACAGACATATTAAACCTGGACCAGGAGAGAGGCGGTGGGGGAGATGATGTGTTCGCATACCCCTCAGAAAGTGTGTAGTTGCGCCCCTGCCCTTAACAAATACATTTATGAATAAATTTTACTATATTTCGTCAAAGTTAAAAAACAAAATATATTTCCAAAGCTTGTTTGTGCAAAATAAGTAAAACAGAAGAAGTTTTTATTGGGAAAAGTGACAATAATTTACACAGTGAAGAAAAACAAACCCAGACAACATATGTACAGTTTTTGATATTTGCTATAAACATCCATAAGTGTAAAGATATACAGTACATTTAAATATCCACAGTTATACAAGTTTCCAGAGGACATGAAGCATTTATAAATAAGCAGCTTCTACTATTAACCTGAGGTCACAAAGATAATATTTTACTTTTATAAATTGTGTTATAGTTGTATGTATGCAGAGTGTTTATGGAAAATACAATTTGTTCCTTAAATTGCATTTTTAGCATATAATCTTTAAAAATCTATATGACTCTACTTACTACCACCTAAATATACTATGAACTTAAATCACTTTCTAGTTTTTTTCTGCGCTCTATTTTTTTTTTAGTTACACCAGTTTAGTTATTAGTAGGTTTCAGGATTAAAAGCATATGTATAGTGTACAATAACATTGTAAGTATTACTTGAAGTGGCATTACTAACATCTATTTAATAAAAGGTGCTGTATTGCCATCCTAAACATGATTTATTCTTGATATGTCTAAACCAAACCAAAGCGATCTGGAAGGTGGTTCAGTGGGGACAGACTGAGACACACTGTTTATTTCTGCCGCTGTAGACGGCAACGGTGTGATGTAGATCCTGTGGTCTGCGTCGTCGATGCTTTGCTGATCTGCTGGTAAATTTCTTGAACCAGATGAGAAAGGAAGGTTTTCATAAACGGGAAGGGAAACTGGACCTGTGGGTCTGGTTGGATGCTGTCGTAAATGGTCAAAAATGACGGATATATCACTCTTTGCTCCCTTGTCATTAAATTGACGATCAGTCACCTGAAAAAAGAACATTTGAAAATTTTAAGCTGATATCACTTTGTTTCGTTTCTTGTGGTGTATGTTGATGTGTCTAAAAACATGTCTACGGCAAATCCTTTTTTGCAATATGTCAAAAATCTGGTGTAAAGTGATATGCAGTTACTTGTGCTACAGTACTTAATAATGCATAGACTTTGTAAAGCATTAGTACCGGGGCCGGTTGGTTATGTACAATTGCTTGTACATTAAACCTATAATTTACCTAATCATTATGTGCTGCGTAAATCTTATAGCTGATCTTGGGTGATTGTCATTTTCCACAAAAAAAAAAAAAAAATGCAGACAAAGTTTTGTTTTGTGAAGAACCTCTTCGAATAAAGAAATAAAATTTCAGAATCTGAATCCTGTTCATGAGCAAAACAGTTTTGGAGAACTGCAACATGCTCTAATCTCCCACAAGTCAATGCTTTGAAAGTCATGTGAAAGTAACACACATTTACTAAAACTAATCCATGTAAGGTGTCTGACAACATCACAAGGGGTAAGTCGCTGCAAACTGGCTGATGACGAGTCAAAAGACAAAAATCTGATTTGGAAACACAGAGAACCAATTTAAAAGAAGTCATTGTTTACAGTGAAACGTGTCTTGTACCAACATGGACTGAAAGACCAATCAGTGAGGAGGAAGCTGTTTCTCCAAAAGAAACATTAAAAAGCCAGATTACTGGGGTTTGCTGTGGTGGCGCAGGGGTTAAGCACAACCCACATATGAAGGCCTTTGTCCTCAACACGGCTGTTGCAGGTTTGATTCCCGGCCCAGTGACCTTTAATTATTAATTGCTTGCTACAATAAATTTCACCTGCATAAAGTGAAACACAGATTATTTAGTTTGGTCAGGTCTATTGCCACTGATTTAAATGACCAGCATCATGCTGTGGTCATATGCATGAAAGCTATTTTCTGCATCTGTTCTGAGGTGGGATGAGAACAGAAAGGTAAAACCATTGGAAGGGTTCTAACTAAAACTACCATATTTTATAAGTTCTTTTCTCAGTAGTTCTTGTTCTGTTTTTAAATCCAGAATTGAGACGTTTGGACTTAAACAGTATATTATTTCCATTGATACCACAGTTGAGTGTCTTTTTTTCATGTTAGTTCATATTTAGTGCTAAACTGCATTTAATGCTCTAAAAGTTTCTCCCCATCTATTTGTGGCAAAAAAAAAGGTATGGAACAATGTTTTAGAATGTGCAAATAGCTCCATGAAATTGTTTACAAACTAAGCAAAAATTATGAGGTATCAGACTTCAGTGCATGCAGATGTTCCCAGCTATATGAATTAATACATGAGATGTATTATACTCTGAGCTTTTTTTATACATGGGCAAAACAATGTGAAGGAAGGTGTTCGTGTTTTCAGTTTCTTTGCTTCAAAATGATTCTGAATGAATAAACCCACAAATGAAACATGCTTAAAAAGTAAAAACTAAACATCATATTTTACAGCCAGGAAACCTTATAAAGAGGGACTAAGTAAAGAAATGAGAACTGGTCTTGGTCCATTGTTTTTCAGAGGAAATAGATCATTTTGATTTTTTTTGTTTTTAAACCAAAAGATAAACCTTTGTCACATCCTCAAAACCAGATTCAGACTTCCATAAATGGATTGCAGTGTTGTAGTACCCGAGATTTTATTTCAAGACCGGTCAAGACCACAACTGTGGAAATAACACTAAATTGTCTGAATATTATCAGTTTCTTTAAGATCCCTATTTTATTGGATACAAAACGTACTGATTCAAATCCAAGCAATAACGTGCCTCATTGGTAAACATGTTTTTGTTAGCACTGTCGCGCCCACCTCCTTTCACCCGCGCGCGGGCTGCAGCACTTCAACTGAAAGCCACAAGTGGTCGTCTGAGAACGGGGTAAGATGTCTGCCAAATCATCAGTTATAAAATTCGGCTATTTACATCACAAAGCATATATTTGTAGAGCAACATTGAGAAAAAAGCAAACAGCGCAACGTAAGTTCTGCAGTGCTTCACTATCAGAGACGGTAGGGACTACGTCCAACTTTTATTGACACCTTGAAAGGAAGCACGAAGAAAGGTAAGCTATGTGTATGTGATGTTGGGAAAGCTAGCTAGTTAACGTTAATGTCTCCTCGGTATCAAATTTTTTCTACCTGGCCATCACACAATATTAGCTATCTATATTAAGTTAGCAAAAGTTGTATATGTTTTAGGGTGAATGTTATCCTTTCTTGTCAACTATTTGCCACCTAGCTTATGCACAAGTTATTGTCGCCTAGTAGTGTTTGTGAAAACATGTCGGACATTACTGATTTGATTTAATTTAATTTTGTCCCACGAAAAACTTAAAATCATGTGACATGTTGACTAACTTCCTTCTCCTCTAACCCTGCCAATATAATGTCATTAAGTAACATTTGAAAACCATAGGGCGGTGTAGTGACAAATATTCTGCATTCCGTTGAATTATTGTGCGGTGCGAACGTGTTGACTCGGGTGTTGCGCATGGCGGACAACGCTGTTTCCATGATTACAGCTCTGCGTATTTCTTCATGAGTGGATTGCAGCACGTAGGTGGAAGCGAAGCAGAAAGATGAGTGTTTTATTAGATAATCGTAATATATTCGGGTTCTTGTCTAATACTTCTCACGAAGAAGCAACATAATGTAACGTTTTCATGGTTACGTTCTGTACCGTAATTTAGATGACAAGCATTTGTGGGAGGACATGCTTGTCCTCAGAGGAAGACATTGAGTTACCGTGGTCATCCGGTGAACATCTTTCCTGCTTTCCACAGTTGTGTCTGATGGTATGAAGGAGGTCAAGACCATTTCTCGCACCATACCAAAAACGTCAAAGTTTGCAACCGTTTTACATAGCAACTCACAATTTAAAGATCAGCTTGAGGCTGCGTTTGGCAACAATAAGACTGTTCCAACTGCAAACACACAATGTTGGAACAGTACATTTAAACAAGTACAGGCCCTTACAACTTTAGAACACAAATCACTCAGTAAAATGTGCAGCAAAGACTATGAGGATGTGGTGTTCAGTGCGCAGGAGTGGAACCAGCTAAAGGAGCTATATGAAGTCCTTTCTCCATTTGCTGAAGCAACAGAGCTGACAGAAGGGGAAACATCAGTGACTACTAATATGGTGGTTCACCTCCTCTAGATGGAGGAGACCTGAATGCAGTGACAGCCATTGGTCAGAGCCCTCCAGCAGTGTCTGGTGAAAAGATTTTCTGGAGTCTTTACAAAAACAAACATGGCCAAAGACAGCGGAACCATGATGCGTACTTCTTTGCTACCATGCTGGATCCACAGTTTGGGTTAAGGGTTTTAGCTCTGACAAAAGTCAGCCAGACTTTTGTGCACGTATTTCAGTGGGATTTGTATTTCTGCAGATGGCAGTAGTATTTCAGGGAGGAAGTGGAGGAGATCAATCTTTTTGTCCACAAACTATCTGTCTCATAACAAACTGTCACGACATGGTGACAGATTTAAGAAAAGTTACAAAAGTTGTAAAAAGTTACAAAAAGTTACAGTCTCATATACAAATGCAGCTTTAATTTGTATATGAGAGAGAAACGAGAGAAATTATTGGCATTTTTTCAGTTTTACATTTACAAATTGGTTTTAAAATAGCTTGTTTTGAAATAGCACGTTTAAAAACAACATAAATGTATAGTACTGTTCATGATAGGCAGAGAAAATACTATCTTGATAAACTTTGAATAATTGTTTGAAATTCTGTGGTTAATACACAGAAGTACTAAATAAAGATGTTTATATTTATTCCAGCTCTGTGTGTTAAATATGTAGGTGTTTTAATGTGAATGTGGATCTTTCAGATCAATTTCAGTGATTTTGATCATGTTTCACGTTTTATTGTCACATACTAGTGCTGGCCTTGGTCTTGACTCGGTCTCGACTTCCCTCGGTCTTGGTCTCACACCCTGAAAGTCTTGGTCTGGTCTTGGTCTCGGTTCACTCTGGTCTTGGTCTTGACTCGGTCTCGACTTTCCTCGGTCTTGGTCTCGGACCTGGAAAGTCTGTCTCGGTTCACTCTGGTCTTGGTCTTGTCTTGGTCTTGAGTTAGGGGGTCTTGACTACAACACTTTTGGATTGTCTGTAACGGCTCCGTCTGTTTGTGGTCACCACCAAAACGTTTTCTTGACATAAAATCCATTGCTTAATGGAGATCTCACAACAGCTTCTCTTGTAGGAACATTTGTTTCCTCCGGATCATTTAACAGCAAACACGTTGAAGGAGTTCAATAGCATTCATCTTAAAGCACCATCAGTTGCCAGACCTCAGAATGTTGGCATAAATGTTTGATGGTAAGATATTTTTTTCCCCCAAAGAGTTTCTCTGTATTTTTCTTTTTCTTATTTTTATACCTTTTGTGAATTCATAGTCAGACATCTGAATGCCACTTTCTTAACTAATTGAAAAATAGCCCTCTATAATCATTATTTTTGTATTGTTTTCCTCTGTGTCTGAGCCAAATGAAGGAGAGAATGACTGTTAAGAAATTTTTTTGTCACTAGAAAACCATGGAGTCATTTCGGATAACTTCCCCAGTCATCATCAATGGTAGACCCTAGGGCTGTGTAATAATATCAATATTGCGATATATATCGATATTTTCTTT